AACCATTCCAGGCAGAAGGAATAGCCAGTGCAAAGCACCTAAAGAGGAAGTATGCTTGGTGAATTTGGGGAAAGGAGCCATTAGAAGAAGAGTGAAATGATCTGACTTACATTTTAAAGGGATCAGTTTGACTGTTGTGTTGAGAAGAGACTGGAGTAAGGCAAGGGGGATCCTGTTAGGAGGCTGTTGAAATAATTAAGTTGAGAGGTATATGATGGTGGCAAACAATGACAACATATTGTATTTTGGGTATATTTTGAAAGAAAGAAGAGGCGAGAGAGTATTCTGGTGGATTCACAATAGATTGTGGGAAGAAGAATAGTCAAAGGTAAAATCAAGATTTTTTTTTTTTTAGCCTGAGTCATTAGAAGGATAGGCTTGCCATTTCCTGAGATGGAGAAAGCTATAGGTGGAGTAAATTTTGGAGGGAAAACTACAGGTCCAGTTTTGGATATAGGTTATTGATGTTAAAAATCAATGTAAAGGCAATTGGATACTCACTTATGGGATTCTGGAGAAAGGTCTTAACTAGCTAAATCAATTTAAGAGTCATCTACATATAGTTGTTATTTACAACCTCTTTGAGATCATCAAGGAAATGACTGTAGATGAATAAGAAGAAGACTTGGGGAGTGATGAATCATGTCAAATGCTGCTTATAGCACAAATAAGATGAGGACTGGAACTGACTATTGGATTTTGGAGTGTGGAAGTCACTGGTGACTTTGACAAGGATAGTTAGGCAGAGTGACCATTGTATTTAATTAAAAGTATATTTTAGAACAGAATTACTTAACCTGGTAATCTCACAAGAGATGAGAGATTTGGTTCTTGTTGAGCAAACCTGCTGTGAGACTCCCCTGCCTCTAGATAATATTTTTAAAAAAGGAAACCCTGTAAGGAATCCTATAAGGTCAACTCCATCCAGCTTTTCACTTGAGCAGCATGCTGGTCTGGCATTGGGAGGGCTCCTGCCAAAGGGCTGTAGGGCCTTGGTGTGCTTTTCTGAGCAACAAGCAGATACACAATGGAATTTGCTCTTTATCTATGTTTCAAATGCTAACCTTTGGCTCCTTTATGAGCCCTGAGAGATAGAGGAATGAAATTTTCAGAGAGAAAGGAAACAAATTCATGCTCAAGGGCAAAACATTTTTCTTTTTAGGAGATTAAATATTTTTTCTGCCCCACTTCCTCCAATTTATTCTGATTTTATCTATCTCAAAGGTCAGAAGGGAGAAATTAATAAACAGGATACCATAGACTCTTGTCTTTTACTTTATACTCATAGATAAGCATATCGTCTTAATGGTGATTTTATTTTATTTTTATTTTTAAAAATATATTTTATTGATTTTTTACAGAGAGGAAGGGAGAGGGATAGAGAGTCAGAAACATCGATGAGAGAGAAACATCGATCAGCTGCCTCCTGCACGCTCCTTACTGGGGATGCGCCCGCAACCAAGGTACATGCCCTTGACCGGAATTGAACCTGGGACCCTTGAGTCTGCAGGCTGACACTCTATCCACTGAGCCAAACCGGTTAGGGATTAATTGTGATTTTAATGATCATTTAGGTTTTTGATATCTTTCCTTTTTGCTAGAGCTTTCTAACTGCAGGTACACTCTGGGAACAATATGTAGGGATGAGAACAATGAAATGGTTATCCTTGAGGGGACTTGTGGCCTATGATATACTTGGCAAGCCACCTACCATGGCTATCTTGTGTTCTTGTTGACATCTTAACACTGCTCCTTATTTTGCTGGTGATTTGAAGCTTCCCAGAACATCACTAGGCAGATCACATTGTAAGTGACAGCACAGAAGGCCTGAGAGATGAAAGAATCAGATTCTCACTCTTGCTCTGTTACTAACCAGCTGTGTAATCGAGGTAAGCCACTTATCCTCTTTGGGTCTTCATTTTCTAATTGTAAAATAGGGATAATCCTTGGTGCACAGGATTATTATAAGAATCAAATACGTTAATGTATGTGAAAGTACTTGAGAATATAATTAACAGAAGAAGGAAACTGTAAAACACTGAAATGAGCTACCAAGTGAGGTTATAGAATCTTATTTTGAGATCATTAAAAACAGAAGCTTATCCTTTGGTGGATAAGAGGCAAGCACATTTGCAGGCAGAAGGAAGAAATATAGGACCTCTGATCTTTCAGGTGAAAGAATACTAGACACAGGGTAATGGCCTTCATTATCTTGCCTCAATGATTTTGCCAATTACTTTCCAAGTACATGTTTCCAAGGCAGAGCCAGTTAATGCTTTGAAAGATTCATTGCCATAATACCAAGGGGAAGGCTTTCTCCATGTAGTTGGCAGTGTTTTGGAGGAGCAGACAATGAGCAGTCCAAAGTGTAATCAGCTTTTGCCTGCCAGAGCTCAGAAACAGAGTGAGCAAGCACTTTGATGGCAAGAGGAAGTTAGGCTAGGAAGATCCACTAAGCCTCAGGGATTCCCTGCTCGATTGGTCTCAGGTCTCCTGAAAGGCTTATGTGTGAACAAGAGCCACAAGACAGCACTTTGGGGACAAGGACCTCTTAATGTTTTCCTCTGAGGTGAGGAGAGCAATGAGAAATAATGTCTGGGGGTGTTTTTTTTTTTTAAAAAAAACTATATTAAATGCGTGTATCCATATGATACTGCAGCACTAAAAAAGGGTGCATTATGAAAAAAATCTTGTTTGTAAATAAGAAACTGGCACCTATACTCACCAAGGGCACATTTTAATTTCTCCCACCTAACTGCCTCTGTTCCCTTTGGATCTGAACTAATTTACCTTGTCCAATGCAGAGAAGCTTACTGACTGTAAACATAAGCCAAGAGGATTTGGATTCCTTTGCTCTTTTTCCATCCTACTGTTAGACATTACCAGTTAGCCAGTTATGAGCATCACAAAATAGCAGGGTAAGACTGTCAGCAAAGAGCAAAATGGTAGCTTTTGATTAGTTGTGTTGACAAAAATGTCATAACAGTGAGATTAATAAAAATCTATGGGATTAGATATTCTAGTTATCAGATGGAGAACATGGCCTCTGCCCCAGCTATCTTTCTGAGCTACATGTAAGATGTGGGTTATTTCGTCTTGCCTCAATTTACAACTCTATCTAGCTATAGGGACCTCTTTCTTTACTTAGCACTACCCTAGCAGGAAGTAGAGCCACAGGGGCCAAAGGTACAAGTCTGTACCTTCAGACTTCATTCCATTTTCCTGTAATTACTGGGTTACTCACCCTAGAAAGACTCTCATCACTTTCTGATGGCCCTTACTGGCTTCATAGGAAGGAGACCCCAAATAAAAAATAAACAAACTTATTTTATATATACCATTCATATGGTGAAGTATACAAATTATAAGAGTATAGTTGAATGCTTTTTTTTAAACAAATGTAATCATATCAAGACATAGAACATTTCCAGCAACCCCCACCTAGAAGTAACCACTGCATTCACTTCTTTTCTATCTTTTCATTTGCCTGTTCTTAAATCTCACTTATATAAATGAAATTCATGTGATACACACTTTAATGCATCTGGTTTCTTTCAACATTCTTGTACGTGTATTTTTGTGGACGTTTTTACTCTTTTATTTTGGTTAGATATTTAGGAGTAGAATTGCAGGGTCATGTAATAAAACTATGTTTAGTTTCAGTGCATACTGTGAAACACTTTTCCAAAGTAGTTATACCAGTTAACACGCTCACCAACTATGTATGAGAGTTCCAGTTGCTCCATGTCCTTCTTGGTACTTGATATTGTCAGTTTTTTTTTTCAGTTTTAGCTATTCTGGTTGGGTTTGTATGTCCCACTGTAGTTTTAATTTGCATTTTATTCATAAGTAATAATAATGAAAATTTATTCATATGCTGGTTGGACATTTAGATGTTCTCTTCTGTGAAGTGCCCTTCAAATTTTTTTCTACTTTTTAAAATTGGATAGTCTGTCTTTTTTCTTGTTGATTTGAAGGAGTTTAAAAACATTTATATGCAGGATACAAGTTAGATATATGTATTGTGAATATTTTCTCCCAATCTGTGAGGCTTTTCTGGCTCCTAAGGTGCCTTTTGGTAAATGAAAGTTCTTAATTTTAATGAAATCCAATTTATTAACCTTCATAGCTAATGCCTTTTGTATCGAATAAGAAATCTTTGCCTACTGAATGTAATGAAGATATTTGCCTATGGTTTTGTCTAGAAGATTTAATGTTTTACCTTTCATATTTACAGGTATTATCCATTTCAACTTATTATTATTAGTAGTAGTAGTCATAGCATTACTTTGATATCTGGTGTGAAGTGTCATGGCTCCATTGATTTATTTGCTTGTCCTTGTGCCAGTGCCATGCTGTCATAATTACTATACTTGTATAGCTAGCCTCGATAGATGATAGTATATGTCCTCCAATTTTGTTCTTCTCAAGATGTTTTGGCTATACTAAGCCCTTTATATATCTTTATGAGTTTTAGAATCACTTTGTCCAAAGTGCCCTTTGGGGATGGTTTTGAGCTTATTAACTTATTAGCCACCTCAGGTGCGCCCACCCTTAAAGTTGAGGTAAGAGTTTGAGGCAGAGAGTGGCAGTGTATTTATGGCATTTACCCTCCCACTACTGAAAATTTATCTCTGAAGTACTGCGAGACTGTGGTACATTTCCCTGAGACTTTCACTTTTAGGCGCCAGCCTAAAACTCAACTAACTTCAGGTAAGGAAAACCAGCTCTGTATTTCAGGCTTCTCAAATTTCCAATCATTATGCTAGTCTCAAATTTTATGTAAATTTCTCCTTTTCCTTAGTAGAGTCATTCAGCCTTGGGGCCAAACCTCATCTTCAACTTTTACCCAGAATTAGCAACCGTCTCATGACTATCAGTTCATGTAGGAACCGCTCGTAGTTCTCTGAAATTTTAGTGCAGCTTGTCCTTGTTTCCAAAGATCGTGGATATCGTTAAGCCTATCAAATTTGCAATTTTTCTTTTTTGTTGTTCTATAGTTGTGACAGGAACATCCATATTCCATTTGAAAGTGCAAGTCCGGGAAACGTTTAGTAGGCAGCGCCTTGACCCTCTCATCCATCTCATCTCTATCACAGGTGAGTAGTTTATGTGTTTGGCCCAATTCAGTAGGTCAGTGGAAGGGCAGATAAAATGGACGGCAACATTCCTGTAACAAATGATGTGGATCCCTGAGGGATTTATCAGGCTTTATCTCTTTGCCTTGGGACTCACTGTCCTAAGAATTTGGAATTCAGCCAGTTTCCAAGGTTGGCAAATTATATTAACATTCTCAGTTCTATTCTGGTTTAGAATGAGATGTCTTCGGTGCAAATAAGGAAAATTTTGCTCCAGAAGGCACCTGAATTTATGCCTCTGGCAAAGGACTTTAGGAGTCAGACCTAGGCTGATTTCCAGTTCTGCAAACTTACCATTTGGCTATGGGCAAGTTAATTTCTCTCATCCTCCATTTTTCCATCTGTAACTTTGTAGCATTATTGTAAAAATTAAATGTATTAATATAAGAAAAGTGGGTTTCACAGTGCTTAAAATATAGTAGGTCTTCCAAAAACATGAGCATTTATTAGATAATTATTTATGGGAATGTCATTTCATCTGATATATAGTTCATGAGGCTGGGGATTATGCTTGGTCACTTTAGGGGGGAATAAAATTTACATACAATGATATGCACAAATCTTAAAAGTACCATTCTATGAGTTTTGATAAATACGTACTCCTGTGTAATCCAGAACTCTATCTAAAGCATGATCATTACCATCAACCCAAAAAGTTCTCTTATGCCTCTTCCCAATCAATTTCCACTTCCCTAGATGTAACCATTATTCTGATTTTTTCTACCATAGATCATTTTGTATTTTATAGAATCGCATATGAATGGAATCATACAATATGTATTCCTCTTTTGTGTCTGATTTATTTCTTTAAGTATACTCTTTTTGATATTCATCCATGTTGTCCCTATCAGTAGTGGCTTTCTTTGTATTGCAGATTAGTATCATATTGTATGAATGCACATTTGTATATTCATTCTCCTTTTGACTGACACCTGCACTCTTTTCATTTTTTGGGGGGAGGGGTATTATGCATAAGGCTGCCATGACCAGTCTCATAAAAGTCTTTTTGTAAATTTTCATTTTTTGGGTAAATACCTTGGAGTGGAATTGCTTGGACTACATGCTTAATTAAGGTGCTTGCTTAATTAAGTAAAACAATTTCCAGATGATTTCAAAGAGGTTGAAAACCAGCAATATGCAAGAATTCTGGTTGCTCTATATCTTTGCCAACATTTGATGTTATTAATCTTTAATTTTAGCCAATTTAGTGACTGTGCTGTGGTATCTTACTGTGATTTTAATTTGCATTTCCATGATGATTAGTGATGCTGAATATGTTTCCACTGGCTTTTTAGCCGCAGGCATATCTTGGAGATATTACAGGTTCCGTTGCAGACCACACAATAAAGCAACTATTGCAATAAAGTGAGCCACATAATTTTTTTCAGTGCATACAAAAGTTATGTTACACTATACTGTGGCCTATTAAGTGTGTGATAGCATTATGTCTAAAAAACAATATACATACCTTTATTAAAAATGCTTTATTGCTAAAAATGCTAACCATCATCTGAGCCTTCAGTGATTCATAAATTTTTTTGCCCGTCGAGTCTCATACGTTGATGTTGATGGCTGCTGACTGATCAGGATGGTGATTGCTGAAGGTTGGGGTGGCTGTGGCAACTTCTTAAAATAAGACAACAGTGATGTTTTTGCCTCATTGAGTTATTCTTTCTTCCCTGATTTCTCAAATATCACTAATCACAGATAACCATAATAAATATAATAATAATAATGAAAAAGTTTGAAATATGACACAGAGATACAAAGTGAGCAAATTCTGTGCTCAATCCAGGGTTCCCACAGACTTTCAATTTGAAAAAAAAAACAAAACCCCACACTATCTGTGAAGCACAATAAAGTGAAACACAGTAAAACAAGCGATACCTGTATTTATTTTTTTCCCCTTTGTGAAATCATTTGGCCATCTGCAAAATTGGTTTGTTTGTTTTTACTTTTGAGTTGTACAAGCTCTTTATATATTCTGGGCACAACTTCTTTGTCAGATATCTGTTTTGTGAATATTTTCTCTCAATTTGGGGATTACCTGCTCATTTTACTGTGTGTTTTGATGAATTGGTGTATTTTTATACCTCCTGCTATCCTCATGCATGGTTCAAACTTGATACTATTTACTGAATAAAAGAGCTGAAAGTTGTTCCTCCCTCATTTCCTTCCTTCCTTTAGTTAGCAACACTTACTGATTACCTACTATGTTATAGCCCCTCTTCTGTGCTTTTGAGGATACAACAAAAAGCAAAACAACACAAGTTTCCTAATCTCATGGCACTTGCATTTTAGTCTATAGGTATATGGTGGTAGGATAGGAGATAGAAAAACAAATAAACAAGAAAATAGAGGTAATTATAGGTACCATAATATAAAAATGCATGGTATTACTAATGGTAAAGGGATGATTAGGGGCCTTTTTCAGGTTAGAGAGTCAAAAATCTGAAGAGATGATATTTAAACTGAGACCAGAATAAGAAGAAGCCATTTTTTTCCTGAGTGAAAGGGATCTCAGGCAGAGGGAACTGCTTATAAAAAGGTCCTTAGAGTGATTTGGGGAGTAGGCACAAACTATACAAAATGCTCCTTTAGGCAAACTAAGGTGTCAAGGATTGGTTGCTTTGGAAATTATCATAACTGGAATAAGCTGATGCTATACTATTACTCTTTCTTAGTACTGCAGTTCTTAGTAGTTTCTCAACATCTTCACTAACCTCCACCCCACCCCCTGCTCCTAGGGTCTAAGATATTTTGAAGATAGGAATTGTGGATTAGCTAACACAATGGTCATCTGGGTTAAGGCTAGGTCAGGAAATTTTTCCCATCAAAGGTAACCAAGTGATAGATGAAGTAAATCAAGGGTTGCATAAGTAATAAGTAACTAAATTTGTCTTTATAAGATAATAAAATATGAAATGTTCTACCTCTACTTTTTATATTTAGATTGTGCAATGTGAGAGTCTATAAATAAAATATCAATTTGATAAGTGGGATATAATTTATTTCTAAATTTTTCCCAGTTTAGAGAGAGATGAAAGAAAAGATGATGGGATGGGATAGTGGAAGACAGAGACAGAAAGTGAAATAGAATGAAAAACATAGGTGAAGAAATGGAGGTATATCAACCAAGAAGAAGAGTGAAAGAGTTCTAGAGGGAGGCAGAGTAGCTGAGAAAAAAAAAAAAAACTGGATGAAAGGGAAAGCAGAATTTAGTCTTTGTGTGTGTTCCTATCACCCTTGCCTTGCATGACCTTGGGCTATGGGCACCATAGTAGGTTATTGTTTCCTTTGAAAATGTGATGGTACCCTCTAGTAAAGTTTAGCACATACTTTTCTTCTGTGTTTCCCTTCTGATGAGCTGATTCAGTTCTACACTAATGCCAAATTCCTTGTATGATTTATTTCCCTTTGAATTAATAAAACAAACTGCTATGCCTCTACTACCCGTTCTCCCATGCTTCAGATGCAAAGTTGCCTATAACCAAAATAATGCCTTCTAGTCCTCATGGATTGGACCACTATCATAGGGCAAATCCCATTTCTACCGTCAGGATTTTGGACCAAAATATAGTGTGGTTCTGACAGGACTTATGCTAAGTACAGATAGTTTATAACCTAGTGGGTCAAACTAGGCCCTGTGGAGACAAGCAAGTTCCATGTGAAAATCATAGACCATCTGGCTGATGACTTACTGTACTCCAGTAAAGGTCTAAGGAGTACAATTAGCTGGGAATCATTCTGGTCAGAACTGCTGGAAATAGGGCAATAACAGATTTGGAATTATCCTAAAGGAGTGCGATGGATGACTGCTTCCTGATACTCTCCATTAGAAGAAGCTTGACTGAGACTGGAGAAAAAAAAAGCACCCTAATATGCAGGACTGGTAGCTAGAAATTTAATATGTATACATGTCCAAGAAAACAATTAGTCAAAGTATATAGCTATACCGATCAGCCATGAACTGAAGATATATGCTGTAATTTAAAGATTATAGACTGAACTATAGCAGGAGCAGCAATCCTGTAAAGGGAGATATGAAAATAAACCAATGAAGGGACTTTAGCAGTTTATGTAGGATATGCACTAGATCATCAGACTGGAAAGACAGAACATTCTACTTAAAAGGAAGCAATTGGATATCCCAAAACTAATGTAGACTCTGCAATATTGGGGACTCTAAGTCCCAAGTCAGTTCTCTTTTCAGTTCATTCTAAAGTTGCAGGATTGGCATATGAAACCTCTGGGCATATGGAATGAATGTCCTAGGTAAGCAGAAGAGAAAGAATAAAGTAAAAGCAACTATGAATCAAACAAGCAAACAAGTAAGCAATATGAGGTATGTCAAATGAGTAAAAACTTGAATCTTTGACAATATATTTTTATTAAAATATATTTGACATGCAATGTTATATTAGTTTCAGGTGTACAACATACTGATTTGTCATTTATATTCCTTACAATGTGGACACCACAATAATTCTACTAACCATCTGTCACCATACACTTATTATGATAATATTGACTATTTTACCTATATATTACCACATATAGTATACCTCTATGACTTATTTGTTTTTATATATAACTCATTTTTAAGGGAAGTGTTGGTGGTAAGCCAGACAAACATGTCAGGTAGATTATATTGGGCCAATTCCTGGATGTTTAAACAAAGAATATTGCTTTACAGAAGCATAAGCCCTTAGAAAGACTTGCAAAGCACACCAGACATGCAGATGAGAATAGTATGACTATGGCTTTTAGACAAAGTTAGAGGAACTATATGCTAGATATGGAATATTGGCAGCAATAAGAAATAACCAAGGAACTAATTTTAAAACAGAAATTGTCCAAAATTTGCAAAAAGAGAAAATGTTGGACTTTAATTTACCATAAATTTCCTAGGCTGCAGAGGCAATTGGAAACTTTGATGAATGGATTCTTAAAAACATAGAAAGAATTTATCAGCACCAGATATAAATGGTGACGAGACACAGATGCTAATAAAGACAGAATTAACTGAAGGACTCTGAGTGGATGTATCTTCCTCAATAGAGTTTTTCAAGAAAGATAGACAAACTACCTATGCTCACTTTGTTCTCAAATCTTCTAAGAAGAGATAAAGACCATGAAATGTTTAAAGGAGAATATAAGTAGTAGATTCTTATAAGGTCCTCAAAAGAAGAGGATCAATAGCTAGGGCTACCCTTTCAACTTTATCCTATAGTCAGAACCTGTAGGATTGATAAAGGCTCAAAGATATTAATCTTTATATTTCTATTTTCTATTATTAGATCTGCTTTGCTGTTTTCTTTTGGCTGTGACAATCTTCCAGATTGCCATTATAGTAGCAATTCACCACCGGTACCAACAAGAATACCATATGTGATTTTGTGGGAGGTTCACCAACTTTATCAAAAATTGTTATAGGACCACTGGACTCATTCTGTACTTGATCATCATAATTATATCAACAGCCTGATTTCTGGACCAACCAACCACAGAACCATCGTCAGCCCCACAGGATTCATTGCCGCCAAGAGTCCATTTGCTGCAGCTTTTACGATTATTTTATCTTCTGAGAAGAACAGCATGGAGTCTCTGTCAATCCCTGAACTAATTAGTGGACTTATTGATTGTGTTGCTCAGTTAATAAGAATAGCTGAAGAGATTTTGCAATTATTTTCACAGGAACAAGTTCCTTGTGTAGAGCAAAATGAGATAGCAGAACAAAATGAGGCAGCAGAACAGGTAGAAGTAGATTCATCTCCTTCTGAGGAAGGCTCACTACCAGACCTCGCTGACTTCTCAGACTTGGAATCAATACTTACAGTAAGAGAAGAAGAAGACCTAATGTTTGATGTAGATCAAGCTATGTTTGACATGGAAAACGTATATGATGATGTACTCGCTGGTATAAATGATGATTTAAGAAGTGGGTGAAAACTCACCAGCATTTTTCAAACAGTTTCTTTTTTTGTTTCTAATATTTTCTGATTTTTCTGAATATTAGTAATAAGAATTTTCTCCTAGTTCTGTATATTTTCCTTACTAATACCATATAGAACCAGTAATATTTGATTTAGTTACAGCAGGCGCTGGTCTCTTTTCTTCATTGTACTTATTTTAAAAACTTTGACTTTAGTGATATGGATTTTTCTTTACCTGTACTTGTTCTTCTGCTAAGATTCCTGATAAGAGGCTCAAAAACAAGGAGAATAAACTCCTCACCGAACAATGCAGTGAAGACCTGATGAACTCTATCACATCTTGAGACCCGATTTCATTGTTCTACAATGAATGGAAACCGAAAGGGGCATAATCCCCAGGATGGCCTTATAGTGAATATATCTACATTAACAGGACAATATTGGGACACTTTTATTTAAGAAGACGTAACTTCTTACTTAAAAAGGCCCCCATACTAGGCCTTTAAGAAAGTGTGTCAACCATTGGATTCTATAGCAGACTAGGGGAAAAAATTCTGGAAAAGCAACATCTACCAGATACTAAAACTGCAGAAAGGTTTTCAGATAACTTCTGCAGGGGAGAAAGTTTTCAAAAAGCTGAGGCCAAGAGGTTGCATTCATTGCAGGACTATTTCCTCAAATGCTGGCCCACATTGAACTACTCTGAAACATTGTTCTCCAAATGGAAATGGCAAATTTTAGCAAATAACGAGAGAAGTACTAGTACTAGAAGGGCTAGATAAAGCTCTATAAGGACTAGTCACCAATGGAAAGTCAGATACTTACGGCATAGACTTAGAGATCATGGTCCACAAGTAGTAGTGGATAAAATGTATCTTCTTAAGTATAGTAAAATTTTTAAAATATGTTTTTGTTGATTTTTAGAAAGAGAGGAAGGGAGAGAAATAGAGAGAAACCTCAATGAGACAGAAACATCATTGATTGGCTGCCTCCTGCACATACACCTCTCACTGGGGATTTAGCCTGAGACCTGGACTTGTGCTCTGACCAGGAATTGAACTAGTGGCCTCTTGGTTCATGGGTTGGCGCTCAACCACTGAGCCACATCTTCTGGCGAGTATAGTGAAATTTACAAAGAATAACTGATAGGCTTATTATAGTGAACCTGCTGCAGCCTTGACATAAAACTTTTAACGAACACTATTTTTCTCATTAGTTCATTTTGTTCATTAGATCTCATATATGAATAAAATCATATGGTACTTGTCTTTCTCTGACTAGCTTATTTCACTTAGCACAATGCTCTCCAGATCCATCCATGTTGCCGCAAAGGGTAAGATTTCCTGCCTTTTTTATGACCAAGTAGTATCCCATAGGGAGCAGGCTGAGAGCTGTCAGGGGTGGGTGCCTGGGTGGTTGTAGATGGAGGGATTGAGCAAAAAAAAAAAAACCCCACAAGCAAACAACAACAAGTCATGGACATAGACAACAGTGTGGTGATTGCATGGAGGTTGGTGGGGTTGGTGGGGGAGGGTATAAGGGGGATAAATTGTGATGGATAGAGACTTGACTTGGGGTGGTGAACACAATACAGTGTACATATGATGTGTTGTAGAATTGTGCACCTGAAACCTGTATAATTTTGTTAATCAGTGTTACTCCCAAAATTCAATAAAAGAGAAATATAAACTATCTTTTTTTTTTACCTATAAATAGTAACTTTATATTATTTTATTTTTTTTACATTTTGCATCATTTTCTTTATAACTTTTTCTTTTTTTTCCTTTTTTTATTTATTGCTTAAAGTATTACAAAGGGTATTACATATGTGTCCATTTTATTCCCCCCCTAGACAGTCCCCTAGCCTCCCCTATCCCCCAGTGTCAGAAATACAAACTATCTTTAAAAAAAGAAATTTTAACTATTGAGAGATGGAAACAGTATGAATTTAAACAAAGTATTAACTGGTATTTAGCCACAATAATCCTACGCATAGCAGAAGGGGAAAATGTAATAGTTAGAGGGCCCCCATATCAAAACAAAGAGGGGCCAAATAAATGTGTGGGAAATTCACTGATCATACTAATTCCATGCCATACAGTATCCTTACTCCCATTTGGAAGAATAACTACCCTTCAGATAAGTCCATGGACACTTGTTGTATTCCTTTTAAGAGAACGACCTTTGCATCTCATAACATGGGCAACAACTTCGTAAAGATATAAAAATATACCATTAGGCAAAGTAGTATAACCAAATTACGAAGAAGTGACATATAGACATCAATCCACACTGATAGAAACCAGACTATACCAATTCATATAGAGTCCTAAGGCATATTATAGTCAAAAGGATTAAAAGGCATTTAATTCAGATAATATCACAGTTAACCAACATGACAGATGCTGCATCTAATATAGAAGTCTGTATACACAAATAATTGGTTACCTTTAAAGGTAAATGGGGGAAATTATAGACTATACAACCAGGTTTTATTTGGATGAACAGTAGCAGGAGAAACATAACTACTGAATTTCAGGGCAAGCTTAGTTAACAAATTTAGGAAAGAGACTGCTTTATCAAGAAAAAACACCACAGACACTTTTGAAAGCTCAGAATTTATGGAGCTGCTCAAACATATTAGTATGAAAAGTTTTACAATAATAGACTGCTATAGGGAAAGATTGATAGAGTTGATGAGGATATAGGAGAATTAGAGGGAGTGTACAATGACACAAAGAGAAGAAATAAAAACGATATCATTAAGCAATTACTATAGATAATTACAGGCCATATCACACAGCAGCTTGAGGAAATTTGATGCTGTAATAACTGGACAAACTGAGCCTTAATTTTTTCAGTGTAGGGGACTCTAGATATACAATATTTCCAAAATTCCAAATAAGAGATGTGCAAATGGGCAATGCTAAATTAACCTAACTGGAGCAGTAGAAAAGCAAGAAGAATGTATAACCTACCATTCCAATAAAAATGATTTTATAAGGAAGATTAGTGATAATAGTTAATCAAGGAAATCTATACATGTAGCCACCAAGAAGAATAATACAGGCACTGGATAGAAGTTAATAGATAGAATCTATACTTTTAAAAATAATGTTTTTAATTTTTATTGAAGTATAGTTGGCATGCAATAGTATATTAATTTCAGATACACAACACAGTGCATCAACTTTTATATACTTTATGATGTAATCACCACACTAAGTCTAGTAACCATCTGTCTCCATGCTGAGTTATTACAATATTATTGACTATGAGAGGCCTGGGGCATGAAATTTGTGCATGGGCTAATCGCCCCCAACCGCCCTCCCCTGCTGGCCTGATCACACCCAACTGCTCTCCCCTGCAGGCCTGGTTGCCCCCAACTGCTCTCCCCTGCCGGCCTTGTTGCCCCCCAACTGCCCTCCCCTGATGGCATGAATGCCCCCAACTGCCTTTCCCTGCCAGCCCGATGGCGCCCATCTGCCCTCTCCTGCTGGCCTGATCACACCCAACTGCCCTCCCCTACAGGTCTGGTCACCCTCAACTGCCCTCCCCTGCTGGCCTGGTTGCCTCCAACTGCCCTCACTGGCCAGCCTTGTCACCCCCATCTGATCTGACCCCCCCCCCTGCTGGCCTGGTCACCCCCAACTACCCTCGCCTGCAGGACTGGCCACCCTCAACTGCTATCCCCTGCCAGCCCTATAGCCCCCAACTCCCCTCCCCTGTGGCCCTGGTCACCCAAAACTGCCCTTCCCTGCAGGCCTGGTCACCCCCCAACTTCTCCCCCTGCCAGCCTGATTGCCCCCAACTGCCGTCCCCTGCCAGCCCGATTGCCCCCAACTTCTCTTCCCTGCTGGCCATCTTGTGGCCACCATCTTGTGGTGGCTATCTTGTGGTGGCCTTCTTGTAGTGGCCATCTTGTGACGACATGGGGGCAGCCATCTTTTGATGACGTGAGGTCGTCGTGTGAGGGACACCTAGGTTATTATTGGTATAAATATTTCCTGTGCTGTACATTACTACATCTCCATGGATTATTAATATTTTAACTGGAAATTTTTACCTCATAATCCCCTTTATCTTTTTCTTTTCTTTCATGTCCCCATCCCCTCCGGCAACCATCAGTTTGTTCTCTACTTTTATGAGCCTTTCTTTGTTTTGTTTGTTAATTTTTTAGAGTCCAAGTATCAGTGAAATCATATGGTATCTGTCTTTCTCTGACTGACTTATTTCACTTAGCTTTAATTAAAAGTTTAGAAACAGCCAGGGAATATGTAAACTCTGCACTAGAAATTTGGACTTTGGGAAATTGGGCTATAATTTTGTGTCAAATTAAAAAAAAAGCATAAATACTTGAGCAAGATCATGAAACATACCCAAGGAGAGTCCATAATTTGCTACAAATTCTATTTGATGAGTAATTGAACTGTAAATGGAAAGATCTGGTGTTCCTCAAATATAGATACTGAAGGGTAGCTATTTCTCCTACTAGAATTCTGGAATATGAACTTTATACAATTCTACAATAGTTTAGTGTGAGCTTATTAAAACTGCTAGTATTAACCAGAGAACACAAGCAACCATGCTAACTCAGGCAAGTCACTAAATAAACCAAGAGGAATCTGTGAGACTCTTCCAGACCTTGAAACAAGATAAAGATCGAACCAGCCTATAAAACAACAAATGGTTAACATGATCTTTAGGTATCAAAGCAGAAACATGCTACAACTCTGTAATACGTGGCTAGCCACTTGGTAAGTGGGTCACCTGGAAAGATTGTACTATAATGACACCTCAGGAATAGATAAAATATATTTCAATGTTTGCTTTGATTATGTGATTGTATGTGTTTAAGAACCAGGTTAAAATGTAACCCTGCTTCAAGCAATTACTTTTGTATTAAGTATGATTATTCTTTAGAACAGAATTAGAAATAGAATCAATAGTGATAAGACATAAGTGTAGGATATAAGAAAATACTTAGGAACAAGAGCTAGTAGGGAATGTATTTTTAGGAGAGAAAAGAAAAATAATAAGTTGCCAACAGTTATGCAGCTGTTTATGGTGGAAAGCCATGGCATAGTGTTACTTCCTAAGCGGGTTTATGAACTTAGCTTTGTTTTTGTTATATGCAAATTAACCAACCCTAAGTTGTTGATACTGATAGAAATAACCGTCTGACAATTGACACAAGTCATGCACTTAAAACCCAATTAGAAGGAGATATATTAACTAACTTGCCAGTCTACTGACTGAATGCCTCTGACTGGAATCTGGCATCTCTCCTCCAAGAGAATGAAGAGAGTGCTGGTTCTTTATCCAAACTAGCCCTTTTTTTGGATTTAATTTTTTTATTGTAATTACATTAATTAATAAAATTATATAGGTTTTAGGTGTACAGTTCTATAATACATCATCTATATATTGTATTGTGTGTTCACCACCCAAAGTCAAATCTCCTTCCATTTCTGGCTTGAGACCAACACTAAAGCCAATTCTTTTTTTAAAATAATTTTTATTGGTTGAAGTATTACAAAGAGTATTACATATGTCTCCTCCCCCCCCCCCCTTGACATTCCCCCGGCCCCTACCCCCTAGTGTCTTGTGTCCATTGGTTATTCTTATATGCATGCATATAAGTCCTTTGGTTGATCTCTTAACCCCCCTAACCCTCCCCAGGCTTCCCACTGTAGTTTAACAGTCTGTTCAATGCTGCTCTGCCTCTGCATCTACCCCTGTTCATCAGTCTATACTGGTCCCCATTATCTGTCCCAACCTCACTGGAGCCGTCCCAGCCTCACCAGAGCCATCTTGACCTCACCGGGGCTGTCCTGACCTCATCGGGGCCATCCTGACCTCACTGGGGCCATCTCTTCCTCACCAGGGCTATCCCTACCCCACCGGGGCCATCTCAACCTCACCGGGGCTGTC